GCAGCGTAATTATTGCAATCCAATAGAATCTGAGAGAGGATTTAAACGTAGTAAGGATGAATTTGTTTTGTGTCTCTTTAATTAACTTCAGCTCAATGTTGAACACATGCAGAACGATATGTGTAACATGTACAGAAAAAAAAAACAGTGACTTTGCCTGCATTGGCATTTTTTCTAGAAAGAAATCAAATAAATGACTCGGATTTTAGTGATGTAATGAGAACTCATTTATTCTCAGTCTAAAAAATCCAACAATCATTCATGGTTGTCTAGAAAGTCTATTTTGAAGCAATTAACTGTTTTGTTAGAATAATTCTTATGCACAAATAATGCTTATATATTTTCTGCACAATATAAATCTAGAGGAAATAGCTAATCACCAAATAATTAATGTACTTAAGAGACTTAGTTGAAATTCCCTTAATAATTACTACAATTTATGATTAATGAGTCTATTAAATTATGTTACATGAATAAAATATATACATTTTTATTTATCCAGAATTTTCTCTAAGATTATTTTAAAGATTTTATCTTCCAGCAAATCAATCGATTTCTCATTGAGTTTGACAGTAGTGGTTGGGTTAGGCGACTTCTAAATCAAATTGAAATTGGCACGAGTAACGCTCGTACTATTACTCACGATCTACCGCCCAGCTAATAAATTTTTTTTCTTCTTTTAAGAAGAGAAAAAATAGCGTATCCATTTTAAAAGATATCGATTCAAAGTTTTTTGCATTTATGTTTAAATAAAAAATAATATTAGGTACTTGTACTGATCACAAAGTAAAGGTAAATGTGTATTTACTATTATAAGCATCAGTGATGGTTGAAAATGGGAAATGTATACATGTTGCATGCACGTCAAGTGGTTTTGGAGATGGCAAAATGTCTCTGGTGGCCAGAGAATGCAAGCAGCATACGACAGTATACACACGTGTGATGAGAAGCATGATGCTGTTGTTTAGCATATGTTTATAGAATGACTTTTAGATGACCCAATATAAACTCTTCTAAAAATCTTTATCTCTGCTTTGAAAATATCTTCATCAGGTTTATGCAAGATGCATAACATTAGTTTAGTTGTTGAGTATGTATCTTACTTTCTGAAAATGAATCAGTGAATATTCACTGTTTAAATTGATAACAGCACTAATTCAAACAATGATCATGGTTTTATGACTGCAAATCAATGGATACCATTGATTTATTTTTAAAGAGTACATTTGGGTGACATCTATTCATATAGAAATTGGTACATGATTCCAATCCAATGCTTTCAGAGTCTTAATTAATTGCTCATACCAAAATATTCCTAACAACCTTGGTATGTCAATAGCAATGTCAAAGAAGAAACTGTGCTATTCAGGCTTAGCTACCACTTGAACAAACTTGTCTCAATGATCCTTGTTAGAAGTGACGAAACATGTAGACTTGAAAAGAAACTCAAGCAATTAGACTTACCATTGAGATTGACAGAGAGCAAGCTAAAAGGTTTCTAGTACTTAACAATATCACAAGACCTCTTGATGTATTAAAGTCATCATCATTACTGATTGTTTGATAGAAAACAAAGTGTAATTATATCTTAATTGATCCAATAAAAAAAGGTACACAGAAATAGTTTGTCAGATATTTTAGAAACATGACAAACCACCAGCATTTTGTGGAAGTAATGAATGTGCCAAACCATCCTGTGATCCCTTCGTTTTACTCTATTTTAGTCTCTCCAGTACACCCATTCTGTTCAATTCCATGTCCTCATGACCTCACTACTGTTTTGTTTGATCGTACGGAACAACACTGATCGGCAATGTTATTATGTTCGACAAAGGACAGTAGACATTGAGATCAAGGAAGCGTGAAATAGAGATAATGACTGGCAAGCCAATCAACTAACAATCACTATATTAAATTCAACACAAGAATACATTCTTCTTCAACGTCTTGACATTTTTATTTTATTCAATCAAAAAATATCCTGTTTTCATTAATAATTCTAGACAGATTTCAATTGATTCTTTCCTTAAAAAATATGTGAATAAAGTTTTATTTAAAGTGACATATTCTCATACTTCTACAATAAATACAACAATTTTATTCATCGAAATAGGAATAAAATTCGTTATTGGTATATATAAATTTGTGATATATCTGTAAAGAATATAAAGTCTCACATTTTATTATCTGGAAATGAAATATTCTTTTTTAATTTCGAAATTCATTTTTATTTATCCCGTGTCATTTTGATAGAACTGATAGGAAAACGATTTATTTTTGAGTATAAAATAGACAGTAACAGCATGGTATAGTTGCGTAGAGATAGCAGATGACATGTTCTTAGAAAGCCGAGTGAATGCTCATACAAACAGATATAGGTGTGAGATGGGAAGGAGTAAAACTGGGCATCAGTAACATGTGCTACGTATTGATTCTCATTTCTCGTACATCAACAACGTGATATTCATGCATACTACCAACATTTTCCTGTTTAAGGATAACGCTTTCAACGCGTTCTCCTCTCACAGCCCATGCACGTGTGATTTTTTATAAACCTTCATGCATGAAACACATATGTATACATATGTTAATACCCCTACACCATCTGAATGAATAAACACATGGTGAATTTTGGATGATGACCCAATGGAAAGTGCTTGATTGTTTACGAACATGGTTTTATAACGTACTCATGTAGTATGATTATATCCTTACGAGAAAGGACTTAACTATTATAACCATGTCTATATGTTGATAGATTCTGGTGGGCAAATTAACATTGTAGTCTAGACAACAGAGAACTGATCACACAGTTGCCTACTATGAGAATGGGTGTAGGACAAGATGATACCTATCATATTCTCCTTACATTCCAATTCTCATGACTCCATTCACTGGTCGATCATCTAGTTAATTGGTAGTATTCAATTAATATTTACTTAATGCTTCATTGCTCATTAAATATGAGATAATAGAATATCCTTATCTAATTAGCAATGTAGGTATTGCAATTTCATAAAAGATACATCAACATTATTTGAATAAAAGAATACCATCTTTTTTTGATAGTTTGAAAGGAATAGAAGATGAAGCTTCTGTGATGTTTGATATGTTTGAAAGGATCTTCTTGAGAATGATTTTGGCTTGACTTATGTAGTTTTCTTTTTGTGTACACAGTCATAGAGATGATAAAGTCCTATGAAGTTCGTTAGGAAATACAAATATAAACTTAAAGTCAGTTTGTTGAGTGTAGTTTGAATAGTCGAAAAGCTATATGTTGATCTAAAATTCGTGGTATCCTACTGTACATTGGTACATTGGTTGAGTTTCTGAGCTTGTCAACAACATTTCGAATACACTCATGACCAGATGTGGTTTTGGCTTAAAAAGAGATAAGGATTTGGTTTGAACACAAGTTTAACCTTCATGATAAATCTGTATTATATGATGATGATGATGATGATGATCTTTATTACTGAAAGACGTCAATGCTATCATATATGTTTCAATTATTATCCTTTCAACTCATTTACGTATTAAAATAAGTCTTTCATAGAATTTTTTATTTTCGATTGATGAAAACTTTTGTTTGAAGAAAGTAAAGTTTGAACGAAAGGATCTGCATTACCATTCATCTCTTTCGTTTTGTTCCTTCAGAAACAATGCATCTGTCTATTGAAAGAATGAAGAGTTCAGAAAAAAGAAGCATAATGTCGAATATTTTAAGCTTGCGTAATAGCTAAAGCTTTCACAAGGAGTAAATTTTTTTCTCGCATACTAAAAGTTCATGAAACAGAAAGTTTTCTAGACTTGAGAAATCAAGATTCTTATTTAACTTATTTATTTTTGTTATTTTCTTTTAAAAGATATCTTCGAGGTATAGAAAAATGACACAGACTAAGTGGTTTCGTGGAAAAAAAAAATTAAATTATTAACGAATGATAGAAATTAATAATAAAAAAAAAAGAGGAATTACAAGAAAGTAATCCTTTAATATAAATTTCACCAGTATCAGAAATAATATTGTATCGAGAAAACATTCTTCAGTAACTTTGATTCAATTAAATTGAAAAAGAAACATTTTCTTTAATTAAATTAAAGTAAAAAGTAATCGTACAAATTTACGCTTACTAGCATTGTCTTTCCTCTTCGGTATTTTTTTCCTTAAAGGTCACTGATTCTCTGTTTTCAAGTGTAGCAAATGATTCTCATCACGCCTGATAGTGAAACTTGCTTTTTCGTGGCTCATTGTTTCTACCACACACAGGCGACCCAGTTTGTTTCTTTTAGTGCTTTTAGCAAATTGCCTTCCGATGCTTCGGCACATCTAGGTACGAGAAATAAAGATAGAGTGTAAAACTAGGCTAAAATACAAAAATGATTGCTGTAAAAGCGCTACAGGTTTTTTTTCTTTCATTTTATTCATTACTTTATCCGTAAAGGAAGAAATCTTCCCAGAAAAAGGTATCAAGTTTTACTTTAATAGAATCAATTTATTTTTATAATTTCAAATATAAACATTCTATCTCTTATAAACTTCTAGGTCTAATTATTTTTTTTTTCTATTAAATAGTTGTTTGTTTTTTAATTAAAAAAAAAAGAGGTAGAAAAATAATGGAGTTGAAAAGAAAATGTAATCACTAGAAGTCGATAGCTAATAAAAGATAAATCAATGGGTTTATTTAGACTTGTCTGTTAATTGAAGTCGTAACTTAACTGGTAAACTGACGTAATTAAGTTATTCTGGTATGCGGAACGTATAATTAACAACGTCTTCATATAGAACCACAACAGCCATTTAACTAGTAGAAGTTACCCTAGCAATCTGTTCTTGAGAGAAAGTCTCAAAATGTCTTTATACTTGATGATTATATAATACCAACAATCCTTGATATCCATAGCTAGTGGTAGAATTAAAATACTTTTCAAATTGATCATTCCAATAATGATATCATCCAAGAGTGAATTTAAAAATCTATTGAACGATTTATTTGTTTCAGTACCCCGAGTGGAAATAGTTGATGAACATGGTGCAACTGCTGGAGACAAATTCTATAAAGCTGGTAGTACAATAGAGCTTAAGTGTGTTGTGAGCAGAGTGCCTCATCCTACTGGTTATGTGACTTGGAGGCATGGATCTCGAATGCTGAACTATGATACCATTCGTGGAGGTATAAGGTGAGTAATATATAATCCTAATTAATCCTTCAAGTGTTTAATTATTTTTTAACGGTTAAATAGCTCTTTTTAAAACTTGAAAATAATTACTATATTGATAAATTATAGGACTGATTTAATGTTAATCTAGGTTAATAGCTAGTTTAATTTATGAAATTCACTAATTAAAAATCCATGTTCTCGAGATTCTCATTAAAATACCATTTCTCACTTTTGTTTTAACTATTTTGAAATCAATCTCTGGAAAATAAAGTTGGAACAAGTTATTAACCGTATATTTACTAACTAAAATAAAAATATATTTACATAAAGTACGTTAATGTAAAGAGAAAGAGGAATAAATACTCAACAATTCTATAGATATTTACTATACATGAAAAGAAAGGTTAATTATATTTATGTGACTTGCATAGAAGGACACTAATTGCTTTGATAAAGAATGAAACGACCATGGAATTTGGAGAGTCTTTTATTAAAGGTTTCACAGACAATACATGTGAACCAAGAGTTTTTACGGGTATCATCATAGTTCACAGTTTGTGACCTAATTGGTTATATCTCCAAATTCATGAATTTTAACAACCACACTTGCCTATCCGATTCACATTTATTGCGAGTCTTTGAATCAGCAAAAAACTGCTTCTATAAATAACTACTCACTCGACACTCACTTTTATCTAACCAAACTCAATTCTTAATTACCGTATAATATAAATAACTTGTTTGATAAAAAATTGTCAAATAAAACAATAATTAAAATTTACAGTGACAATGTTATTTGTAATATTTGTAATAATAGTTCTGGTGAATATTTATGTGATACCGATGTAATTACTGCATTGATATTGTCAACTTGAATCTGATAATATGATAACATTTACTGAATCAATATAATTATGTGGCTAGTATAACATAATGATGTTGGCTGTCTTAATTTAAGCAGTTTGGATGATATTGACAATACAATTCCTACAATATCAGATTAAAGGTGTTCCTTTTCAACGTATATTTTATTTTTGAAGATTCTTTTTTAATCAATTTATTGGTAATGAAAAAGAAATTCCAACAAGTCTATAATCTCTTGATGAGAGTAAAAGTGACAATTAATTGCTCATGGTATAGACACTTGTAACAAGTACACTTGACAAATGATTTTCTTGAATCAAGAATAATTTCATTCTTGATCAAAATGCTCTTGAATAAAACAATAAAACATGTCTAACATATCATGAATGGATTCAGAATGATGGGAGAATGATAGGAAAAATGCAATGATCCTGCCATCATTCTGGATCCAGCTATGTTGAACATGTATTATTATTATTTTATTTAAGAATATTATAATCAACAATGAAATTACTCTTGACCCAAGAATATGCTTTTGTTAGAGTATAAATACCTATTACTTAGGTAGAATTCTTAAGATTTATTTGATGCAGCCAATAATGTTACCAAGAGTACAAAAGCATGTCTGAATGTTATTGATTATGTATTTTTTTTAAATATCTTTCATGCTTGCGTTATCTTTATATTTTTCTTTCACTTCAATAAACTTTGAATATCAATATTGCTTCGATGTATTTTCTAAAGACAAACTACATATTGAAATCCTCTTATAACTGCGTTATTATCTTTTATGCCAGAACTAGTTATGTTTATGCTGTTGAAGCTTCTACGTTTGCATCAGTCTTGCACGGTGAGTCTATCCACGTACTTTAAACTCTGCATCATCTATAGATATACAAATGCAATTGATCAGATAGCCAAGCACTGAAAACGAAGTCTATTCACGTACTAGTGAGATACGTTATTGCCAGCATGGCTGGTTTAATTATTGGTTCGACGCCTATTGGGTATGATGGACGTTTCAGGATGCACTGGCCAAAAGGAAATTCGCTAGCCCAGCCACAGGAGACGTCCCATGATGTCACTTGGCTTTTTTTTTATTTCTCTAATGCCTTGCATCAGTTGGATGTAGTAAATCATTTACCAACTGATACATGAATGTCATACTGATTTTTTCATCAAAATTATTCTGAAGTATTTTTTAAAATAAATTCTCTTTGAGATTTACATTTTAGTTATGTTTTATTAAAGTTTAATTTTACTTTAATTTAAACTAAAAAACTTCAGTAATGTATTCAATCATTGTTTTTTTTTTCTTGGAGTGGTTAACAAATTTTTGGGCACTTCACCTTAATAAATAATTCATTGATACCAACACTCTAATAAGTCAGGATGCTAGCACCAGACCTTAGTACCACGACGACTATTCAAATTTTAAGAACTATTTGAATTGAAACTTTAGTTTCAGACTTTCTTGTTAAGTTTCCTATTAATGTAAACGTTAACTAAAATATTCACAAATTCATTAATAATTAATAGACAAATTTAATCAATAGTTTAGCTAGCAATAAGTCAACAGAGGAATTAATTGTCTTCAAATATCCTTTTACTTAGTCTCTAGTATACAAGAAAGTTTTCAAACAAATAGTCATAAAGAGATTTATGTTTCTATCAAAGTAAATATGTCAATTATTAACAAACCTTCAATTGTCCTAAACAAAAGTACATACTGAAAATAAACGGCCGTAAATCCTAGAGTGTTTCTAACTTTGTTGGAGTTATCTATTTAAAATGAAAATACAGAGTTACGTTGATGGAATGAGGTGGATGGAAATTGGGTTATATTATTTACCTCATTTAACTATGAATTAAATTCACTCACTGCTAATAATCCTCCAATTGAAAAAAATGCTCAAAAAACTTTCAAACGTTAATAAATTTTATTTTAATAAATGAATATTATTTTATTAATAGCGATAAGTGGTGGTAATTATAATCATCCCAAATTATATATTAATATTAATGAACATGAGATTTTAAGAATAATTTAAAAAATTCTTCAATCAACTTGGTATATTAATATTATTGTTAGTTTTGGTGAACCTATAACCCGTAGGACAAGGAAAGTTATGGTACCTGATGAACTCAAGTAACTTTAATGTTGTTAGGAAGTTCAAGGATACTGTTCTGTGGACTAGCTTATTTCCTGGGATGTATCAGTTAACTCCTTATGGTTAGGTAAATACTTATATCTATATATACACTTTGCTGCATCTTAACTACATTATCTTTCATGACTGTCATTAGAATTTTGAGATTAAATTTAAATTTTAAATAAACTAATCAAAATTTTAATTTCCAAAGAATAGCCTTCGAGACTTCTTCTTTTTTTCTTTTTAAAAAATAAATCTTTAAATTAATAATTGATTATCTATGTAACTTTTTAATTATTGGTATCTCTTGATGAAACTTAATTAATTGAAAGTTACCCAATAATTTTTTTTCTACACATTAAATTGTAGTGTAAAATAAAAATAATTGAACCTGAACAAAAAATATATCGAAGAAAGGAGAATGAAAGAGATTTCTCATGTTAGTTTGCTCTGAAAGCGGAATGTACTACTACGTAAATGTTCATATATGTTAGAATTTATCTAAGAAAAGATATTTGACATACGGAATTCCGGTTGATACCTTTGACGTTACTTGTTCTCAACAGATAATAAAAGTCCATGTCAATGAAAAAACATTGACAGCTAATAAAATCAACTATTCACTTTAATTTTATATAAAGCAATTATATTATTAATTACCTTAACTTTTAATAAATTATAAATTATTATTCGAATTATTATCTATTCTAAAATATTAAAAATTTCTATCATTCCCCGTTAGAAGAATTTTATTTTTGAAAGTCATATCTAAGAATATTTGGAGTACGATATAATCGAAAATATTCAAAAGTTGATATTCAATATGCATAAATCAAATAAGAACTAAAGTGGGACAGTATATTCGTTCAATAAATATTGAATCTTACGAGCCCTTACCAGTGATGATTCTAATTTTACATTTTTAGAAATAAATTTAATATCAACCCCCAAATAAAAATATTACAAAATCGATGGATTCTTTTTTTTTTTATAAATAACTATAAAATAATAGACATTTTTAATTATTTCAAATTTATTAAATACAGTTGACGTTGAAAGAAATAGATGACAGTAGTGTGATCTTGATTTTTAATAACGTTAGTCGACACATTCCTCGCTTGACAGACACTATTCGGGTGACAGACTGTTTGGACAGAAAGTACATTCCTAAATGTCAGGCATGATTGCTGAAATTTCTTTATAAATGCAAAGTTGAAATATGTTTTTATTATTAATGATATCCTAAAAAAAGATGATATGAAGTTATTTAACGAAGGATTATATCTTAATGAAACTGTGTTAGGTATTTGATAGAAATGATTAAAAAGCAGTTTTGAAATAGGTCGGTTTAAAATGAAAGTAAGACTGAGGATATGCTTGTACTTAGAAAGATGTATTTCAAAGTACTATAGATATCTTAGATAATAACTGCATTAAGGCGTAGGTATTCAGTTAGTGCATTAGAATATGAAATTGAGATGCTATTATGCTGCGTCAAGCGCAAGCTTTTCTTGACTAGACAACGGCGCCACACTTCCCGTATCACTTGACGCTTCCAAGCCATTTGCCTTTGACCTCAAGATGCGGATAAGGTAGTGAGAGGAGAAAAGGAAAGATAGTAGATGACCGAGTGGAGCATCTAAATTCTAAAATAGAGCTATGATGGCATTGTTCGCAAGAGCAGCTGCAAATGCAGCAAGTTTACAAACTTTATTGAAGTGACAACTACACTGCTAAGAACTTTAATGCTACCTTGTTTATTTGGTATTATTTTAATGAGAAGCTTACTCCAAGATTTACATACTTGGTACACACAAAAGAATTTTTATTTCACAATATTTCAATCTCTTTCATTATTACTGTTAATTAGATTTTTGAATTTTACACACACACACACTAACTTTCCTATTTTTATCTTTATCCGTACATTTTAAATATGCATGAAGGTTTATAGAACCTTTTTTTAATATAGCCACATGAGGTGGTGCATAGAAACTTTTT